AAACCGAAGGTTTCCCCAGCATGCATACGATTCCCTCACACCATCGGATATATGGAATTTTCTTTTGAAAAAGTTGTTACGTTGCCGATGGATACTGCTCACTCTCCTAGTTACAGTTATTTTTTCTGAACTAGTTCCTCATTACGCTAAGCTAACAATTGAAAATATCAGTTCTCTCGTTTGATCTGCTGTGCGATTGATCTCTCGAAGACGATTGAATCTTGAACACTAAACTACTTTTAACAATGACAGCGAATCACTTCAGGATGTCAGGTGGATGTCATATTGTTGATGGATTTTTCGGGAGGTGTGGACAATAAACGTGATGACTATGTTAAACTGGCATCTTCGCTTGTAAAAAATCTACATCTCGGTCCCTTTAACGCTCAGGTTGATTCTATTCTGCTTACTTCTTGTCGCGATTCGCGTGAAAAGTCAACATAAAGAGATGATATGAATGGAGAATGAAGAGTACTTCATTAGATTTGAAATGATCGTGTAATGTTCCGGTGCGGTGATATGGTGACACTCGCCTTTGAAGTTCTAATCAGCTCAGAATGCGCGTATTCGATCCCGTCGATTCAAAGTTTCTGTTAAATTTCGATATCGTTGCTAGCGAACATGTTTCCGGGCACACCTGAGAAGACGGTTAGCTCGAAGATTGCAATCCGCCTATTGCTAATATGAACGCATTGATTGCTCTATAGTGATCAATTTGTATGAATGAGCGCGACTGCGCTATTCAATTGATACATATGTTCAGAAAAATAGCTATTTCTCTTCAGGATAACAAAATCGCTCGACAAAATATATGTTTTTCTTAATGAGTAAATCCAGCTGGATCGACTGATGCAAAAAAATTCATATGTTAGTGGGCAAACTTTAGCTTATAGATCAGTATTAGAAGTATGTTGATCAACCATGTTCGACCTTATGAATACTTGATGCGTATGCGTTCAGTGGATTATTAAAAGGCATAATATGAAACTTCTCGAATGTCAGGATTACCGACAGATCACTGGCATGATTACAGCAACAGTTTTTCAGATTGCAATGATCCGGTATTCGGGACCAGGAAGAACCGAAACTATCTTTCATTTGAATAAATATACGAATGCTAGCGCGGCAATAGAGGAAATGAAACGAGTGCCACATATGGGTGGAACAACTCGGACTGGTGAGGCGATCACCTATGCCACTGGCGAATTCGACCAGAGATACGGAGCGAGAAAAGGAGCAAAACGCCTCATTATCATTTTCACGGATGGATATTCACAGGTGAGATTCTGTTCATCGCTACACTGTGATACCGCAAGGTTGTCGTACAGCCTTTGAGCTGTCAGTGAAACGGGTTCTCTGAAAACACTGACACTTAAGGAAAGATAATGGCTAGGTAGCAGACATAATTAGAGGTAGGCCTCTCATCTGGTAGGGTTTGCATGGGATCCCGGAATCCCGGGATTTCAGTTCTGATCCCGATCCCCGGATTTAAGTTTTGGAAAATCCCGGGATTTTGGCATTTGATAAAACAGGTCAATTTGTGTGAATTTTTATATTATGAGCGTTTAACAGTTGATTTCGGAAGACAGGTTAGTGATCATGGAAGATCAGTTGTGTTCTATGGCACTCGTCTGAAGGTGTTTACAGTATAGTTTGTCTAACTGATGATGAGGAAACTGTGGCGGAGATAATTTCGGTCATTTTGCCGACTCACTTCAGGAAGATCCCAGCGATGCAGCGTTGGAGGCGCGGAAAAGTGGTATTGAAATCGACGCAGTGGCAGTAGAAGATGACCTGGTACCTCCGGACATGGATCAGTTAGTGATGATAGCCAATGGCATTTCGGTTAGTTGTTTGTTGGTGATCATTTGAGATATAGAGGTCATCCGCAATATCTTGGAAAATTTTTGATACTTAAATCCTTGATAAATGTATCAGCTCAAGGTCATTTTAAATGATTTTGATCTAAAGTAAGAACACCGCGGAATTCAGAGCAAAATTCCAAATTTTGATGTAGCAGTTTATCACTGGACCAGTAGCTTTCGGTGTATGCAAAGTTCTGCATTTCATTTGAGCAGAAAGCCTCGTTTCGTGTGCATTTTCCCTGTTTACACCTTGATGGCTTTGACATGTCGAGTGTTTCAGCATTATTATTTCTTTGACATCTGATATCAACCTTTGCAGAATGTGTACATGGCTTCGAAGTTCGAGAAGCTCATGTCAAGAGTCATGGATCCTTTACGAAAGTGTAAATGAGTGAACGTGAGATGGATGAGTCTGCAACGAGAACAACAGAAACACTTCCAAATACACGTCAATCATGCACTCAATTGTTTTTGTTTGATCAACTGTGCAAAAAATGATCATGGTGAAAAATCGCAAAGTAATCCATCAGCTTTATTTATGTTATTAGTTAGATCAGCAATAACCATATCAGTTTCTGACAGTTTTCTGTTTATACTTACTGATGTTATCACCAACATCATCATTTCTCACTTTTATCATTACTATCGTTATGATCATTATCATACTTCCCTGTTTTCACTACTCGATATGTTTCAAGTAGTTGTTCTCAATTAGTATTCACTATAATTACATGATTATTTCATATGAAATAAAGTCATTCAGTTTTTTAAAATCTTCAATCAAATTTCCTCAAAATCTTTTTTTTTGGTTTCAAAGAATCATTCGCAAACGTCTTTTGATAACTGTCATGTGTTCGGTCCACAACAACGTTTTTTTTGGATTTCTCAACGAACTGCTTTGAAAAGCAGTGAGCTTATGCAGCAAGTGTGAAGAGTGTAGCTTACTGTATACTCTATTTATACTGCATTCAATTCATATCATTCAACAATCATTA